ATGAGGTAATGCATGGAAAACCTTTGAAAAGTGGAGGCTTATTTCAGTTTTGTCGAATATGAATGTGACTGTCTTTCTGCTCTAACCTCATTTCCCCTGTGATTAAGTGCTAGATTATATGACTGAGGAATGTAAGATCTACTTCTGGATTTTACAGGAAAGCAAATTCTATTATTTGGTATTTAAAAGAGCCACATGGCTTTTTTTAAAGGTTTTTGTGAGCCAGGATCTGACTCTGTCATTCAGGCTGGCTTTGAACTCACAGTGATCCTCCTGCCGCAGCCTCCCCAGTGCTGGATTTACAGGCGGGCATCACCATGCCCAGTAGCCACATGACTTTTCCAACTCCAAGGAGAGCAAAAAATAAATCCAGTGCTATAAATTTATGATATGGATGATAGAAATACCTCATAAATAATGGACACTACTAATAAGGGAGATACACAAGACAGAAATTAACTATTTACCTTGCAGTATGACCCTGCCATGGGGACTTTCAGAAATCTGAAACTATTTAATGAAATAATACCTGAATTTTAGCATCTCTCTCAGATCACCTTGAACTAGCAGGTATTTGATAAGATGAACTGAAAAGTGCAGGCATAAGGGCCGAGGATTTAGCTCAGTGGTTTCGCCGCCTGCTGTGCAAGCGCAAGGGCCTGAGTTCGATCCCCGATACCAAAACAAAACAAAACAGTGCAGGTGTATAATGTCCCTGTTAGAACCTCAGAGCAGGGATTATAACCACTCCCTACTGTAAAGAACCAAAGAAGTTAGACACAGCCGAGAAGCAACATGTCTCAGGTGGTAACCACTGGTGTAGGACTAGAGTCACTCTATGGCCCATGGATGCAAATAATTCTACATGAACCTACATTCATTCAATGGAGCTTGCTTCCTTTTCCTCTCAGATTAGGTCTTCCCTTGACTTGGCTTATTAAAATGTCCTTGCTTTTATGAAACATCAGCAATTTTGAGTTTGAATTCTAGATCTACTCAAGGCAGATAGCGTTAGGCAGATTGCTAGTCCATTTGGGCCTTAATTTCTTTATGTGCAGACACATAAAGATTACCAATAATACCTGCAAAGACTCTGTGGTAGTTATATGACAAATAAAGACAGTATTAGTTAATTAGGTAGGTAAATTAGGTAGAGTGTTTTGATGGTGTAAGATTACTGTTATGTTAGGTCTTTTTTTTTTTTTTTTTTGGTACCGGGGATTGAACTTGGGTCCTTGCACTTGCAAGGCAGGCGGCGAAACCACTGAGCTAAATCCCCAGCCTGGTCTTTTTAATTATGTTAGATCTTTCTCCCTTTTTACCTGATGCTCCCATCTGGTGCCTATCCATGCCTTTGCTCTAGGAGTAAATCTCTAAGGAGCGAGCAAGAATGGAAATTTCCTTTTCATGTGCACAACCAACGAAGCACAGACCCATGTCAGGGGCCAGGAGGATTCTAGAGCTGTGGCACAGTGGGGATGTACCTACTGGCTGGAGCTTTTGTTAGATGTTGAAATGAAACCCACACCCTTGATTTTAGCACTAGCACAACTTTGTATTGTGTAATATATACCCTTCTAATCCCAGTGCTTAATGAATCAGTTTCTCAGCTAGTGTTTGTTGATGATTTGAATGAATAAATATACAATTGCTCCATAAAACACTTGAGTCTTCCCAATTGTCTGTTGCTCAGGGACCTAGAATTTTGATGAGTGACCTTCAACTTTCTACGAAAGGCAGAAAACTGGGAAAGTGTGAGATTTCCTCAAGCCTGAGTATATTTATGTGAAGTCCATGATGGCTATTCCAGGTGTTCTGGCATCCATATTCCTGGTCAAAACTTAAGCTAAACTTGAATTCTGTGTCTAACACCCTCCAGACTTGTTTCCCAGGCACCTCAAAGGTCAAACATATTTTCCTAGATTGGTCACATGTAGTTCTACTGCAACTGTGGGCAGCTCAATGACCAAATTATTTTAGAATATTTATAGGCCACTGTGGGAGTACAAAGGAGGCAAACACTTTTGCCATCGCATATCTCCCAGAGTATTTATGTCACGCATGGGAAGTTGGTGACTTAAGAAAGTTTTCAAGACTGAGTTCTGTGTCAGAAGCTAAGGAGGACAGTAATGTAAGGACAGAATCAGGCTTTGTGAGGCTTGAAGCTATAGGCAGTTTAAGATGCTTTAAGAGAAATAATAAAAGGTCGCAAATAAAAAAGTAGATATAACATTTCTTAATTAGAAGGATTTCCCTTAACGTTGAGGGATCCCAAAGTTTGAATTTAGTTCACTTCTTGAGAATGCACCTTTGTAATAATGGAAGCAGCATTTGAAGACACAGGACTTTGTTCTGTAATGTTGATGGGTTGGACATTTCTAAAGACCAGCAGGAAATACGGATATGCTAACTGGAGCTGCAGAGATGACAAGTGTTCAGAGTGGAGGTTGTAAAGATTTCAGGGGAAGAAAGGGCAACTCTGAACTGCTGACAACTGTGTGTCTAGGTAAACTCCAGTTATTGGGATATTTAAGGAGATGGGAATCCTTGAATCTACTTTTCAAATTAATCAAAACCAAAAAGACACCTATTGGCCATCAAAAATCTCACTACATACTGTCCCCTTCCCCATTTGCCTGTAGGTTAAACACATTTTTAAAAATCATTGTGATTTTTATCCACCCATTGAGATGATAGGAAAAAAAGAAATTACCTAAGGGGGCGTCATGGGTGGACACACAACTATGAAGCGTTTGCTTCCTTAGCAGAAAGCCCCACGCTGGCGGGGCAAGTGGTTGCAGCCACACACGTGGGTCAGGTGGTGGCCTCCTACCTGCTGCTTAGAGATCTCTGCATCAGTGTAGACAGGGGGTTGCCACTTTGTTCTCGGAGTGGCTGCCACACAGCAAGTGCTCTCTAACGATTTAGTGACTGGATGAGTGAACCATGTAAGTGATTTCAGTTTCAACAAATGAGTCCGGGTTTCAAATCAATTTTTCCTTGGAGGTTGTCAGACTTTTTTTGCACTGAGAATTCCTTCCTCAATATGACCTAGGTTAGTGGTGGAAGGACTAGGAAATGAAAGAGAGTTAACTTTCACTAAGCGCCTAAACTATGGTAGCTATTTTGCCTGGTGTTTGTGTATTTAAGCTTTGTAACCATTTTTGCTGTTGAAAAAGAGATCAGATTAATAAAGAAAATGTGTTATTTATACACAATCGAGTACCACTCAGCCATAAAGAAAGATAAACTTGAGGCATTCGTAGGTAAATGGATGCATCTTGAGACCATAATATTAAGTGAAATAAGTCAGACACACAAGCTCAAATATTGCATGGTTTTCTTATACAAGAATATGTATAAGAAGATAAATAGAAGAGCTAGAAGATAAATAGAATAAATAGGAAGTAGGGAGATCTTTTTCAAATTGATGGAGGAACCAGAGATGGAGAAGGTACGGAAGGAAGGGAAAGGGGATAGAAAAATAAAGAATTGAAGAAGAAAAATAATGAGAATAGACCTTTTGCAAATGGGAAGGGGACCTAGAGTTGGAAGGAACAGGGAGGGAGAGGAAGAGTAGGAGATGAAAAAAATGAATTAAAATGTATCATGTAGATGTGTCAACTCCCCGTGATAAATGTAATCATTACCTACTAATAAAAAATATAAATAAAATGTACTAATAAAAAGATATGTACTAATAAAATGTACTAATAAATATGTACTAATAAAAATATATAAATTTAAAAAAAGAAAAGAGATCAGAGAGCATAAATAACTTGTCCATGGCTTTGCAGGGAGCAAGCAGCAGAGCCAGGATTCAAATTCAGGTCTGAGTATACAGGGCACATCCTCTGACCCTGCAGCTACTCCTTTGGCCTTTTATTTCCAGAAAGTGTGAAAGTCACAGAAAATGATACAAATGGGCACACGTGTGTGTGTGAAGATGGTAGTGTGGGGTAGTGAAACAACAAACTGTGTCTGTTTGCAGGATGTCATTTGCGGCTTTGAACTGCCCATCTTTAAGACAACAGTGCTGGACTGGATACCTTGGAGTGGGGTGACCACATGGCTGGTCCCACTGTACACCTGTAGTCATGGAAACTCTAAGGAATGCTCCTACCCTTCTCAGAAGTGCCCCACTGTGGAGCAGTTCTATGACTGGCCTATTGCAAGCTTCTCTGGCTCTTCTGTGACTTCAAATTGAACATAAATATTTCTTTCATGACAGAAGGAATGAGCTTCATTTTCCAGGCAATGATATGTAGGCACTGATAGCACCTTTTCTAGGGGTTACACTGCATTTTTTTCTCCCAGTGCTCCATTCCTTTAAAAATATATCAGTAAATCCTCTTCTATCCGATCTGATTCCAGGGAATGTGGGAAGGTGCCTAAGTATTTTTCCTTCATACTGGTGGCTACCACTTACTGTGAATGCTTATAGTCAGTGAGTGCTGACACACCATCTCAGGAATGCACGCATTGATACTGCTGGATATTCCTCACGTTGTAGCTATAGTCACAGGGTAAAAGCGACTTGCAAGAAAGGGATGGAGCCAGGTCTTCCTAGGTTCCTAACTATTGTGCTTTGCTGAGATAATGCGGACATGGTACACACATATAGGGCAGATAATTTAAGAAATTATCAGGCTTCCTAAATTCCCCATGGCTTTTCCAAGATTTCTCAATGTCTGCACCAGTCTTCGTAGCTTCCATTATCCATTTTACAGACAGAGATGCAGGTTCTCAGGAAATCAGACAAGAAGGGATTAGTAAGGAGGCACGATGAATGTTTACTTGTGTGGACCTTTGCAGGCTTTTTTTTTGTATGTGTGTTTTGTTTTTTAGTTTGTCTTTCTTTACCACAGTATAAAATGGAAAACAAGCATTTGCTTTTTGGTTTTTTTTTTTTGGTACCAGGGATTGAACTCAGGTCCTTGCGCAAGCATTTGCTTTTTCATTCATGTTTACATAGACAGTACTTGAAGAAAAACCACCAGTTGACACTGTATCATTCTGCTTTTATTTATTGTCTGGCTAACTTACAAAGACGTAGATGTCTAGGGTAGATTCTACCCTACCATTTAAACTATCCTGATGACACAGATACCAAGATGTGTCTGTTTACACAGTGCAATGATATGAAAAAAATATTTTTATTCTTCTATAGTCCCTGACTATAAACAGGGGAAAATTAATTTCATACCAAAATGTTAGGGCACTTTAATAACTATTTCATTTCGGCTACTAAAATAACAAAATTGGTATTACAAGTTAAAAGATAAAGGTCTAACAGTTTTTACAAATATGCAAATAATCTGCTACTTAGACATAAAAAGTTGATTTCTTTCAAATCACAAAGTAAGGCACCATTGGATTAAATATTTTTCTTGGCTTTTGCTAAATAAAATGCATAGTGAAATAAATACAGAACACTGAATTTTAATACTGTAATACATTTCAATATAAAATGATATGTGAATGTTAAAATACTGTATTGCCTCTTGAATATATTTATTTGGAAGTCTTACGGAAAAACACACGTGAGCTCTGATTTCAAGGGAAGGAAATGCTCATTTTCATGATTTTCCACAGTTAAAGATTTTAGTATAGAACTTGTTCAAAGTTGTGGATGTAATTAGTTGCTAACTTTCAAAGAAAGGGTGTAGGTGTATTCATGAAACATTCTCTTAAAATATGTTCTGAAACATCTCTATTCTGGATGAAAGGCAACTTTGAGCTGTTACTCTGTTTCATACTTTAGAAAGGTACCTGCAAAGTTGAGATATACAAAGACTTGTCCAATTCCCTCTACAAATTTTACCCTTTATAAAATTCAGACCTGCTTTCTTTGGGTCAGACTTTTCTCTGTCAATTTGTTAGGAAGGCCCAATGGTATTTTTTTGGGTCATTAGGCTTTATCATACAGGTATTAGTCACTGTTGACATCTGGACAAAGAACCCAAAATAAAATCATGCTGCTAAATTACCAAATTAGGAACAAAAAATAAAAAAATATTTTGGCCAAGCTTGTTATATCCCTTTATATTTTTTGATTCTAAGTAACAGCCCCTAGTGAATGTAGCCATAAGATAGAGGAATGGCAATAGAGGGGGAAGAAAACAAGTTCTCCAATGTACTAAGCCCAGGACTTTGGCAAGGGAAGTTATAAAAGTACAATATATTCAAATTGGTAACTTCATAATTTATTACACATTCCATTTATTAGAACTGTTAAGTTCTTCTGCTTTTATATAAATGAAAGTTATTTATTCTATAAATAGGAATGCATCTTTCAATTTTTTCTTTGGATTGATTTCTTATTAGCATCTCCCAGTAACACATGATCAATACACTGAATTCGATAAACTGATACAAAGTTTAGGTAGATATACATATATATATATATGTAGTCATGTGCTTTTAAAAAACGAGTAATGGCAATTTTAAACATAACCATATAAAACATCAAAGTGGAAGTATTTTTTCCAACTCTATAGCTAGATTTAAAAGTCCCAGTAAAATTTTGTAAACAAAATCACATTAAAAAAAGGCAAGGTTGGCTCCTCCTCCTGGTCCTTTAGTGGAGCTCTATTTGCATAGATCTAAGTTAAATGATTCTACTGGATAGATTCAAAGTAACCCCCTAATTCTAGTAGCAAGCTCCCTAATTCAGTCAACCCCATAAGCATCAGATTTAGATTTTTGAGAGTTTTGCCCATCAACTCAAATCTGTCATGCACTTCTGTGCTTCTGTCTTGATACCTTTCTCTTTCCTCCCCTCCCACCTAGCTAGCTTCCTTGCCATTCCTGGCCCTGAGGAGCTTACTCAGTGGGAAGGAAACAAAGGCCACTTCAAATCTGCAAGGCAGGCATCTGACTGACAAGTGAATGCACAAGGCAGCTGGTGCTGAGCCTGGAAGCCCCAACTGGCTTTCAGTTTCTTTCTGATGGCTTTATTCCATGTCACTGTAAACCGTATAAGATCCATTTCTGACCTTGATACTGTGAAGCAACACTTGTACACAGACATGAAGGGAAGAGGAAAAGGAAGGGACCAAAATCTAGGGTCAAGCTGCCTGCCAAATAAAGTGTTGGGTCCTAACTTTATTTTTAGGTATGTCTTGAATTGCTAAAGCTCATTTAGCTATTTTTGCTTTTTAAACAAGAGGTTTTTGAACTAACTTCCATCTTCCCGACCTGTGCTGTCCAAGAGAGTGGCCACTCAGCACATGTGGCCACTGACCACTTGTCATGTAATTAGTCCAAATGGAAATGTGCTCTAAGTACAGAAACACCCTGGGTCTGGAGCACTTAGTACCAAAAAGAATGTAAAATATCTCATTAATAATTCTTATATGGATTAGAGGTTGAAATGATATTTTGGATGTGTAGGTATAAGTGAAATATATTAAAATTAACTTCTCCTGTTTCTTTTTACCTTTACAAAAATGTGCCTAGTAGAAATTTTAAAACTGTATACAGGGCTCACATTATATTTCTATTGGACAGCTCTGTCCTCCAGCCTACCTCAGAATGCCCACGACCGGGCATCCTGTAACTGCAAAAGCTTTGTGTGAGCCCTTGCTCGGCAACTTATCTCAGTGGTCTGGGTTCCTGAACACAGACTCACAGGAGGCCAAGCATTCGAAAAAAGCATAGGCGATAACAGTTCTCGGGGGCTTTCATAATTATAGCCTGTAGCAAATGCAGTGAAGGTTGGGTTGAGGGCAGGGATACAATGCATCTCTGCCTATCTGCACAAAAGGCTATGGATCTCAAAGCCAGCACGAGCAGGCTGTAGCTGAAGCAAGCGAAAGCTGTGAAAATATACAGGATATAAAAAGCTAGGTGCATTTCTCTACTGGATCCTCACCCTCCTCACACAGAAATTCCCCTCACCCTCTCTTTTTCCTTCTTGCCATAAATGAAGAGGACAAGGGACAGGGGAGGAAGGTGTGTAATTCTCAGACAGCAAACAAGAGAAGGTGCTCTGGAGTCTGGAGAGAGAAGAGCAGGCAAGGATCACCTCGGGATGGGAGGGAGGGGTGGGGCACCCCTTTCTCTTCGGTTGGATCCACCTTGATGAAAAAACAGACAGAATATAATTTTGGTTAGAAAGCTTATATTCTTACTGTGGAAACTAGGGATGGTCACAAAGTACCCACTACCTCAACCCCTATGACCAAGGCTAACTAGCATGCGTGGATGAGGAAGGAAGAACACGGAATGATGGGAATAAATGCTCCCAGATGGTGACCACCACTCACTCGCTACTGACGAGGTGCACAGGGCTCAGCAAAAACACATGCTTTTCTTCTTACCACATAGATGTTGATTATAGATTTAGAAAATATGAACAAAAGCAAAATAAAAAATTCCCCCATGCTTGCACCACCCAGAGATAACCAATAGCAATTATGTGTATATTTTCCAGTTAGAAACAGTTCCTTTTCTTCTAGAAATAGGATCACACAGCATCCAAAGTCAATACTCTTTGCAAATATGACTATTAATGACACACTGCATTCTACTGAATAGACTGTAATATAATTTAATCACTTCTGTTGGATAAGGTAGGTTATCTGGTATGAAACTGTATCTCATTGTAGTTTTATTTACATTTCCCTAATGATTAGTGATGTTGAGGATCTTTTCATGTGCTTATTGGCCATTTATACAAATGGCCATTTATACAAAAATTTCTTTTTCAGAGAAATGTCTATTCAAGTATTCATTGTCTAGTTGGTATTTTTGTTTTTGTTTATTGTAGGAATTCTTTATATATTCTGAATATTAATCCCTTATCAAATATATAACTTCCAAATATTTCCTCCCATTCTGTGGGTTCCCTTTCACTCTGTTGATGGGCTCTTTTTAAAGCTATGCACATTAATGGGCTATCAGAGCATTTCAAACCAGGTCTAAAATCCATTCACATTTTGAGGCTGTAACAGGTATGAGCATGAAGTCAGGGGCTGGGCTGTGGCCAGGTCTCCCAGAGGCACCAGGCAGGTGAGTAGGTCTGCTCTGAGTTTCATAGGGCTGGTGTGGGGGTTCTTCAGAAGGCATCTTGACAGTGACCCTGCAGACTGAGGGACTTTTCTGAGACAGAAGCAAATCTCTGAGCAAGCAGAGGAGATGCTGGAAAACACTGGGAGTCCACTGCATTATCAAGTCCTCTCACCATCCCAGCCCAGTCTTTTCTTAAGCAGGCCCCTGAGCAAAGACTCATCTGAGCAGAAACCAGCTTTCTGTCATGGAGCCTTGATTGTCAACTGACATACCACAACTGCTTAGCGAAATAAGAGCCTGCCTTGAGCGATGCTGCTGTGAGGTAGCATTCATAGCGTGCTCTACCAAGTCAGGGATGCCTGGGTACCCTACCAGGCTCTGGCCTTGGACACTGAGGCAGTTACAGTAGCAAAATAAAACTTGGTACTTGATAGTGTCTTATTTACTTTTGTTAGATGATCTGTTATCTAAAGCAAATCTTCAAAAAATGTTTTGGGGGGCAGTGGAAATTTACCAGTTTAAAACTATTTTAAAATGCTTGTTACATGTCAGGTTCTATGTCACTCAGGGAAGATACAATAGTGAATATTGTTCTAGCTCTCAGGTTGTTCATTCCAGTCTTAAGCCAGGTATCGTGGTACACACTTGTAATTCCAGCAGTCTGGGAAGCCAGGATAGGAGGACTGCAAATTTAAGCCCAACCTGGGCAATTTGGCAATTTAGGGAGACCCTCAAAAAAAAACTTTTAAAACGTGTGAAGGCCCTGGGTTTGATGCCAAATACAGAAAGGAAAGGAAGGAAGGGAGGAAGAAAATGTTTTTAGCTATAAAATTAAAACTTTAGAGGGTATGGGAAAGATGGTTCTGTTACTGACTTAAAATGCAAATAATTTTTAAATTAGATTAAAAATGCCTATCATGAGTGCCAAAAAATGTTTAGAATCTAAATGAACAACTCCTTAAAGAGAACTCAGTTATTAGTGCCCAAGACAGAAGGAAAGCAGGCTACATTCTTATCAGATACAAGCCACTTTCTGATGAAGACCCATATAAAACACTCAAAAGAGTATCTGTTCCACATGAAAACTTACTTTTCATCAAAAATTTCGATCACTAATTCTTTTTTTTGTTTTTTTTGAGACAGTCTCACTATGTAACCCAGACTGGCCTCGAATTTGCAATCAGGCCTTGGCCTCCTGAGTGCTGGGATTAGAGGTGTATGTACTACCAGCTACTCATATGATAATTTTATTCTAGTTCTACCATTTTATTATGCTTTTTTAGGAATGTAGTATTGCAACTAAATGAATTTTCCTAGGAATTAAAGAGTTTTCCCTTCAAGCAGCAATGTTCTGTTTCCTTCTGCAATTTGTTCATGGAAATCTCCCCGAAGTATTTTTTAACTCTTTGAACTCTCTTCAACAGAGTCACAAAATCCAGTCTGAGTCCCTGGTGTGGTCCTGCGCTTTACCACGTGGTACAGCTCTGTGTCCCTCATCCTTCTTTGACCTGAGACTGACATCTATCAGTTCTCTCCAGTGTCAGTGTTTTTGATTCTAATCATCCTTAACTTCAGCTGATATTAACCTGCTCTAGGACTGGGAGCCACCAGCAAAAACCGTTTAAGAACTGTGTGTTCAGAGAGAATCAGGGTGTGTAAGGTGCTCTGCTGGAGAGTAAGGACATGGCTAGGGATGCTGTGACAGTTATTTGATTTACTTAGTCTGGTCCTGGGGCTAAGACTGGTCTGGTACAAGTCTGAGCCTCATCAGTGCTCTTTGTATATTTCATGCTAATTATTTCTTGGTCCTGTACATTGTTGTGAAATTGCAGTATGTGTATTTCCCTTTTCAGTTCACATTTATTTTTGAATGGGGAAGTGATTTCCTTCTTTATGGCAGCATTACACATATTATCAAACAACTAGAAACAATCTAAATGTTCAGGAATGTTAAACTACTGCATGCTGAGTTGACAGACTCCCGTGGAATAAAAACCATGTGATAAAATGGGAAGTGTTTACTAAGCAACGTTCTGTAAACCCTCCCACCAAAAAACCATACACTGTCATTATAACTATATAAAAACATCTGAATTGTATGGAGAAGTTTTTTTTTGAGGCAGGATCTTACCATGTCGTCTAAGCTGGCCTTGAACTCACTATGTATCCAAAGCTGGCCTCAAACTAACAGTGATCATCCTGCCTCAGCCTTCCCAGCACTGGGATTAAAGCCGAGTACTACCATACCTGGCTGAATTGTATGGATAAGAATAGAAGAGAGCCTGGTAAAATCTGTTTTTTAGAGAGGTTGTGGATATATTTAACATTTACACAGAATGCTACATAAGGCTATGGTTATAATACATTTAAAAGATCAAGGCAGTTATAGTGAGTTTTTGTGATAATTAATAAGACATTCTGTCAGTCTCAAAACTAGTAGGAATAAAAGATGGCTCTATTTTTGCTGTCTTAGAAAGATCAAAATGGGGGCAGATTGTTCACATTAGCATAGTTGCCCATGCTGGCTTCAAACTTATGATCTTTCTGCCCTAGCCTCCTACAGTGTTAGGATTACAGGTGTGCTCTACCATGCCCAGCTAAAATAACAGTTTCTCATCTATACTCCGTACCTGCAATCTCCTCACTGCACACGGAAGGGAAATTTGCCAGGATTTAGATAACTCCAAATGGGGTTCTCCACCTGACTCCAGGTGAGAAGCCTGGATTCCTATACACCTTGAACATAACTCAGGTTATTCAAGTACAAATCTGTCAAAATCCCCGGCAGAAATACTCACTCCGGCTTTCGTTTCTTGCCAATTTGCTGGGATAACTTTTGGTCGTTGGTACATATGGCTCTGGAGGTGGCAAATCAGAAATTGGATGGAAGTAAAATCTGCTTTCCCACTCATCTAGGGGAGAAACAAACAGTATGTTCAGCAACAGGCAATCTGCTACCGAGACTTATGTAATGAAAGGCACAGAATGAAATACAGACAGAACTACAGAAACCAGTTCTAGTTTTATGCCTACAGAAAAGCTGGATGTGCTACAAATGTCACTGATTGCTGCACTGATAAAATGTACTGGCAAAATCCAAATGATTTCTCCCCCAGTGCTGCAGATGGAACACAGGGGTAGTTAGGATACAGCCAGTCCCTCAGGAGTGAACATGTGGGAGACCTTCCTTCCCGGAAGTGGCCCTGGGATGACTGGGACCACTCGGACACATAGCAGAGGGAGGTGGCTCCACATCTGTGGGCTTCGGAGTCTGTTACCCATAGCCAACTTTTTAGAGATATAGATAATAAGAAGGTAAGCTGCAAAAATGGATCCTTCTAGAATTCTACACTCTCTGGAAAGTTCACCGAAATAAGACTTAAACCATGAACAAGTCTGAGAAAACAGATCTGTTTTTGTGGCAGGTGCGAGAAGGGGTTGCTATTTTTAACTTGAAGTCCAAGTGGACGCTCAAATGATAGTTTAGATCAGTGCAGTCAGAGTGCTGACAACGAGGGAAGAGAAAGGCTAATGCTGCACCCACTACACACCTTCACCTGAGTTGTCTTGGAAGCCGTTTCTAATGGATGTCGATGGTGGAGGTGGGGGCGGTGCCCCAGCGCCAGGCCTATCCGGAGGAAGAGGAGGCCTGGGCCCACTCCTGGGACTATCTACTCCACTCCTGGCCGGCAACTGAGGGGTGGCAGGCAGGGCCCGATTCGTGCTGCCATTTCTGCTCACTGGCGGTGGCGGTGGGAGGGGCCCTGGGCAAAGGAAAGGACGACATTTAGTGCAGTACTACTGTATAACCCACACTGCCATTGTGGCCATCATCAGTGTGCAACTACTGAGTGCCTGCTGGATACTTGGCCTTTCTCCAGGGAATGCGGAGACTTTCCAGAATATGGGAAATGACTGCACATATAAACAGGAGTGGCTGAGTGCCTTTGAGTTAGCACAGAGGCCAGAGATGGTACAGTGAAATTGAAAACAGGTGATAATCTGTTTATACTAACAACCATATAATTTAAAAAACATTTATAATCCTTTTAAAGAGATAATGAACCTAATTATTGTGACATCATGAAAAAAACTTTTTAAAAAGAGTAAGACATTTATGAAGTTATTTTAGGCTTCAGAAGAACTAAGTTCTTTGATGGCACAGTCTTACTGCAAATTGTACACACATGTTTCTGCGATGCACATGAGCTGCTTCCACGTGAAAGTGGCATCAGGAGACCAAATGCAAGTCATCCTGAAAGCAGGAGTTCCCTCTTGGTTCTTCCTCCAGGGGAGGCAGATGAGCACAGGGAGTGACAAATCGCTAATCAATGTTCCCAGCTGTAGATGCAGTGTGGGTACCAGCCCTGAGAAAGCTGCTGCCTGGTGGACCTTGGTCCTTGTCTACAATGGGTGTCAGATAGTCACCTTTCTGAGTGCTGCTGCCAGGAATAATATGCCAGAAAATAAGTTAAAAGTACTACAGAAGTATTAGAAACCATTTAAAAAATGCAATGGTGAGGTACAACCAGAACATTTTTAGTTATCAGAATAGAATTCAAAGTAAATTATTTTTAAAAAGAATATAAAAGAGGGCCAGGGGAGTGGTTCCAGCACCTGCCTGGCAAGCACAAGGTCCCAAGTTCGATCCCCAGTACCAAAAAAGAAAAAAAAAAGAATATAAAAGAAACCCATGTTGCTCTTCCCTTTCTCCATATGCAGAGGATATTTGTGTAGTGTAGTCAGTTAAATTTAAAAAAACAAAAACTAAAACAAAAACTTGAGCATTTCCCCACGTAAATCCAAAGGACCTTAGTAATTAGTCCTGATTTCAGCAGTGTGCTCCACTTGTAACATGCTGACGTTACATGTAAACACAATGTCTTATGGCACCATAAATACAAATATTTCATTACCTATAGTTCAGAATCCAATTAAAAGACTTTAAATGGAAGCACCTGCCCTTTGCAGATTTGCCTGACAGAATGCTGGCTCAAACACTTGAGGGGGTGGGAGACACTGCCCAGCGCTGGCTGATGTCTCAGGAGACTGCAGTGTCTTGTAGTATTTACTGCAACTTCTCTTGTCACTGCTGGAGTCTGGAGCAGCAAGACTAGATTTACAGGCGGAAATGAGTCTCATGCACCGTGAGTTTAATGTCACTGGTAATACCTCCACCTAACTGTCACTAAATGCAAACTAGACTTACAATATCATGGGGGCTGGGAGTATGGAACTTGATCAACTTCATCTCATTTTTGTTTTTAAAGTAAATGTTCAAGTTTCTTACTCTCTAACATCATGGACCCAGCTCCACACTAAGGCTGACACAATAGAAAACAGGTTTCTATTTCTCATTGGCAGGATAATAATAAATATGATCATTTATTGAATAATATAACTACAAGCAGAAAATAAAATAACCTCTATACACACTTGTCTCATTCAGTTTTTACAGTAATCCTGAGAAGTACAGGGTCAGCAGACAAGGCCTGAGGTATTTGAAGCTTAAAATACCCAAGTCAGGAAGCTAATGAATGAGACAGGATTTAATTTCAAATCCATCAAATTCTACAGCCCACTCCCCTAACAATGAAGCCAAAGCACATTTCAAAATACACATGGCCTTTGATATGTAAATGGTAGGAAAGTTCTGGAAGGCAACTTGGCAGTACCTATGAAACCCATAGTTTTCCTATGTATAACTTTAGAAATTCTGTCTCTAGAAATTCATTCAAAGGAAACACAGAGTTGTGCACAAATATTTAGCAGCCAGGATGTATCAGTGCATTATCTGCAATAGGTTAAATCTGGAGATGGCCTATATAACCAAAGGAGGGGACTGGTTAAAGAAACAAAGGTACGTTTGTAGAATCTAATATTATGCAGCCATTAAAAATTAGGTTGTAGGGGCCGGGGATTTAGCTCAGTGTTTCCGGCACCTGCTGCGCAAGTGCAAGTTCCCAAGTTCGATCCCTGCTACCAAAAAAAAAAAATTAGGTTGTAGAAGAATATCTACTCATATCAGAAAATGTTAATAAGATATTGTTAAATAAAAGGCAAGTTACCACACACTATATTTAGTGTGATATGAGTGTTACAAACATATGTGTCTGTAAACAGATTGAAAAGATACATGAATGTTAAATAGATGTGTAAAAAGACGTGCAAAAATGTTATCAATGATTATTTCTGGGTAGTGATGGTAGAATTAAAATGATTTTTATTTTCTGTATCCTTCTCTCCATTTCTAAATGAAACAGGTATGACTTATGTAATCCAAAGAAAGAATACATTGTTATATGTCACTATCTATAATATTTTGGGGGAAGATTTACTATGCTCATCCATCCATTTGGTAGTCATGTAAAAGGGTCCTCCATCATTTTGTGGGAAAATTCCTACATGTTGGATGAAAAGAAATATGCCATATTTCATTCACCTGAAAACCCAGTCTCATTTGTTCACTGAAGAAAACTTAATGAGAGGCCACTATGTCTATGGATTGCATTTAATGGACTAGTAAGTTTTTACTGTTCGTAGTCCATCCTCCATGGCATAGTGGTTTGAAGGAGTGGTTCTCAAACTCTGCTGTACATTACTAATACCAGGGAACCTTCAAATACCCTGACACCTAGTCTGCATCGCAGACCAGTTCTACCAGAAATCCCCGGGAAGCAGTGCAGGCTTCCATGGTAATTCTAGTGTATGATTAAGTTTGAGGACCACTGATTTAAAGAATGGTGTTTATTAGGTTCCTAGGGTCAAAAGTCAGTTAACTTCCAAAGAAAAAGTGCCCAATTTCCAGATATGATGAGGTATTCAAGGTGAGGTGGAATTTGAAAAGTAGATGGTTGTATTAAGTCCATCAATAGTGACTGTAAAAATAAGACTACCAAAAATGCTTATTATAATTAGGAGAAAGAGCCCAAACTCCATGGAATCCTCACATTTCATTTCATACTCTGAAAGTTCTTCTCTTAGATAAGTCTCTCAGCCTGGGCTGGGGCACAGATGGGCCTGTCAGGCCATAAAAGAGCATGGAGTTTCTTGTTGTTTTGGGGTTGTTGTTGTTGTTGGGGTTTTTTGTTCTGTTTTTTTCCCCAGTGCTAGAGATCGAACACAGGGCCTCATGCATGCTAGGTCAAGTGCTCTACCACTGAGCTACATCCCTAGGCCAAAAGACAAATTTTCAGCTTATGACTATGAGCACTTTTATAAAGAGAAGGTCTATAGACTCTACCTTTGGTTCACCAAAAGATTTATGTACCAGAAAAGTTAACAAAGAACAAAACGGACATTTTTTTTTTTTTGGTACTGGGGCTCAAACTCGGATCCTTGCCCTTGTGCAGCAGGTGGCTAAACCACTGAGCTAAATCCCCGGCCCCAAAATGGACTTTTAAACATTTGTATTTAATAAGCAAGGAAGTGGCCTCAAGGCCTGGCAAACAGGTATAGAAGTTCATTTGCTCTGACATAACTGCTGTTCTTGCTGGAATCGTGGGCTCTCCTGCAGGAGATGAGAATTTATTCCCAAGGAGGGCAGCTAAGCTCCCTGTTTGTGGTTAATTTGCTTGTGACCGGTTACCTGCTGGTTACCTCTTAAAAAAGAAAACTGAAACCTCAGAGGTTTGCAGGCCGTCTTAGGGACAGCAGACTCCAATGTCACTTCAGGTGTAAGGCAGTCTGAGGGTTTACTTATGCTTTTGTTTGTATGCACGACTGGATTTGGGTGACTTTGGGGGTGCTGGGCTTGAGGGAGCCACCCACCCGTGTCTGGCCTTACCTGATCTGCCTGGTGGGTCCCTCACCGGAGGAGGGGGTCTCTCGCTGGGCGGGGGAGGCAAGGGGCCCGACCGCCCGGGTGACGGTAAGGGAGGTGCGGACGAGGTGAGGGACACGTTCCGCTGCGGGAGCCTGGGGATCTCGTCGGCGCCGCCGGAGCCCCCGGGAGGCAGGGGCGGGGGGCCGGGCCGGCAGGGGGGCGGCGGCGGGGGCGGTGCCTGCGAGGCGGTGGAGGGCGCGGGCCGCGGCGTGGAGGGCACCGGGGGTTTGCTGTTCTGCGGGGGCGGCGGGGGCCCGGCCTCCCGGTGCAGGGCCGGCCTGTTGCCCACCGGGGGCGGCGGGGGCGGCGGCTTGTCCTCCGCGGCCCTGCTCGGGGTGGGGGGCAGGGGCGGCCGGCTGGAGAACGGGGAGGGGGAGCCCGAGGGTGTCTGCCGCAGGGAGCCCCCGCCGAACGCCGCAGCTCGGCTTCCAGGGAAGGGCGGAGGAGTAGGCCCGGGGCCGGGAGGCCTGGGGGCTCCGGGCACTGGGGGGGACCCCCGGCTTTGCAGGCTCGATTGATTGGGCCTCGGCGTGTTCGGTACTGGCGGGGGAAGGCTCTCGGGCTTTGAGCCCACGTCGGGCCTGGGCGGAGGCATTCGGTTCCTGGGAGGCTCCGGGGGGCCGCTGCGGTGGCCCGGAGAAGGGACAGGAAACCTCCCCGGACCGCTGGGGGGCGAGAAGGGCTTGGCAGACGCCGATCTTCCTCCGGGTGGCAAAATTGGCGCTCGGCTTCCTCCAGAATCTACAGAACAGGCGGACAGATACCCAGTTAGAACACTGGAAACCCCAAAGGCCTCAGCGAGCTGGCTTACTGCAAGACCCTTCCCAGTGTGGTTTAAAACATAGGTTACTATTCTTTCTATAAACTGAGTTTTGTGCGGTCTTTCCTAAAGGAAGAGGAACGTTCCAGCTCTGTTTCCTTTCTAATCCCAGGTTGTACACCCCATCAGCTTTCAAAAGGATTGTGGAGAGATCTGTTGGCGATAAGTATGGAGAGAAACTTGGCATTAAGTATGGAGAGGATAGGAACAAGATGGCCCGGGGATATGGGATTTCTGCTAATGATTTTCATTTATCCCCACTGCCAATCCTAAATAATTCAGCTGCCTTAAGTGAAAAAATTAGTTATCTCAGATGACTCTCCATATGTACAGGCTCCTCTAGTACCTTTACAAAGAGGTGTCCAAGAACTAGGGAGAATTTAATGGGAGAGTTATGATTGCATTAAGAAAGACCCATCAAAGGAAAAAGAAACGTTTGGACAAAGTTTAATTAAAAGAATCATCACCAGTGGAAGGAATTCATTTGCAAAGATGTAGGCAGCTATACAACTTTTTTCCTTCCTGAGTCAACTTCCAGTTTGATACTGGCAGGAGAGAAGAACCCTATACCTGCTTTGGTTGAGCCAAATTTGCTTTAACTAGTAAACCAAAGTTTAGGGAGAAACTACAGGAGGAAACAAAAGATACCAACAATCTCCCTCTCTTCCTCAATCTCCTAAAACCCAAGATATGTTCTTGAAAAAATGGTTAAGCCTTAAAACTCTACCACTTTAATCACAAGCTAATGAATGTGTCAAATATTTATTGAGCACCTGATATTCATCAGCCATTATTCTAGATCAATGATGATGAACCGTTTAGAGCTTTACACAGTACTACTGCAGCACCTGTGCCATAGGTTCACCACCACTGTTCTAGATCTTAGAGATAGAGACATTATAAAAATAAAAAAGATCCTGCTCTCCTGAAGTTTATATTCTTGGGAGGGGGGTGATAGTAAGACAGCCAATACATACTTTCAGATAGTTTTAGGTACTAAAAAAAAAGCTAAAGTAGGCTAATGAATCAGGAATGCTTGGAAAAGCCAGCACAGGTGGGATGGCTAAGACCGCTCTTCTGAGGTGACACTTCTACTAAGAGGTGACAAGAAGAGGCCAGCCATGGGACGATAAGGCAGAGAGGCACTTCAAGCAGACGGCCAGCAGGTGCAGAGGCCCTCTCTTGGGTATAAGCTTCAAGTTCATAAAAGCAGCTGTGTGCCCAGCACACAGTGGGCACAGGAACTCACAGGACTGGAAATGAACCTGGTAGCCAGCCTGCTAGGCCGGAAAGGGTTCCAATTTTATTCCAGACCCAATATGAAGCAGTTGGGCAAATTTATTCAGTGTAGTAACATGAACTCTAGAGAGAATTTTTTATTTAGACATTTAGGAGAAAAAAAAAGCTGTATCTTCCTTGGCTAGGTGCAATCCTACATCATCAGCTTGTGGCAAGCTGTATCTTCCAAGCTCAGATCAGCACTGAGCTACCACCCACCTAATGCAGGCAGAGGTCTTCTGCACAACAGCCTGTACCTACTTGGATTCCATCTTTATCTTACTATTTTACTTTCTATCTTTTACCATACCTTTTCACCTACTGCTAAAGTACTGAATGTATGCATTTGTCAGCTCCCTCAACCCCTTTTGGTGGGTTCTAAATAACTAAATTTAAATTTAGACACAAGTATGGCAAGATAGGCTCTCTCATGTCACTGGGCCTCCTTCTAGATTTTGACCATCCAGTGCTAAAATGAGTCAAGTAACCCTGAGGATTCAGTGGATTTATTTTCAGAGGAATGTGAGAATTTCACACTTTTCCAGAGGACATTTTTTAACAGATCACAGAAATTGGAATAAAATCCTTCTAACATGAGAAACATTACAAACCACCCCCTCAAACACACACAACGTTTCACAGTAAATTTGAGCTTGTAGTAGTCAAGAAAGAGCCCTGTGTACTCTGCAGGGTTTTTCATGTAGGCAATGACCAGGTTCACAGAAAATCCTACAGGACTCATTTACATGGCTCCTTGCAGAGAACACAGGTTGAAGATCCCTAAATCTGAAAATCTAAAAGGCTCCAAAATCTGAAGCTTTTGTGTGTATGTGGTACTAAGATTCAAACCAAGGGCCTTGTGCATGCTAGGCAAGCACACTGCTACTGAGCCACACCCCAGCCCTAGAATCTGAAACTTTTTGAGTGCTGACATGGTACCAACAGTGGAAAATTCCATAATTCCAAAATTCCATGAAATTTTGTTTTATGTGCAAAATTATTAAAGATATTGTATAAAATTAGCTTCAGGCATATGTATAAGGTCTATACAAAATATAATGAATTTTGTGTTTATAGTTGGGTTCTATTCCAAAGGTATCTCAATATGCATATGCAAACATTCCAAAATCTGGAATACAAAATGCTTCTGTTCTCAGCCTGGCTCTGAAATATCAAATGTCTGTCATACAAAATTCCTTTTCAGATTTCCTAGTGTGTTTGAAAAGTGGCTCACAAGAATTTTTGCTATGCTAGACAGCTGAGGCAGGCTACCTTGAAAAGAAAGATGCACTTGCTAGGCCAAGGGGCAGAGTTCGAGGGGTGCCAAGTTCCATGTGCTCCTTCCTTTTCTTCCCACTCTAGCTCACGCTTCAGAAAAGTACAGGAAAGGACAGGTTACCCCCAAGGATGTGGGCAAATATTTCACAGGATATTTCTATGGATGATCCTGAATGATGTGATTTGATTGAGGGAAGAAGGAAGGGAGGAAGGGAAGAAGAGAGGAAGAGCAAGCTAAGTAGCTTTTCTTATAAAACAGGGATAGCATCTTAACTAATGTAAAATGTTCTAAAGGGCACAGAGCCCTGGTCAATCAGCCAAGCCTAAAAACTCTGCCTCTTCCTCAGTTACTCAGAGAAGGAAACTTGTTACCATTCTCTCTACTGGCCGTGGATCTCAGCCTGGGCATTCCAGCCTGGAACAGTCCTCCCAAGCCGGGAGGTCCGCCGCCTCCAAAACTGCCACCACCGCCGCTGCTTCCTCCTCCACCGCTGCCCCCTCCTCCGCCAAACCCGCTGCTTCCACCAAAGCCTCCACCACCGCCAGCACCGGCTCCTTTGGGCTCTGCAAAAGGAAGAAAATACATCTATGAAAATGCCCACCTGAGTACTGCACCAGTCCTTGCCCAAGGAAACCCTAAAACAATGATAAGAGAGGGCGCAGGCTAAACAGCAGGGATTTCTCCCCTCAGCTGCAGGGTTTTAGGAATTTGTCTCACCCCTGGGCAGAACAGAGGGGTTTTCTTTCAGCTGCAGGTCGGGCCCAGCCTAGTAGTGGAAGAAACAGCAAGAGATGACGTTCTGTCCTCATACCAACTTGACTGGCTGTCCTATATGTTGATATCTATTTGTCCTCTAGCCTAAGATTTAGCAAATAAAAGGATCTACAAAGGGAGAGAGATGCAATAAAAGTGAGAAAAAAGCAAACAGTAAAAAGAATAAAGGGGAAATAGTAAAAAAGAAAAAAATATCTCATAGTTTACTCCTTGAAAGTATCCAGTATTGAAGTTATTTTTTCCTGTATTTTTCACTTTATGATTTTTCTTTTGATACCGGGGATCGAACTCAGGTCCTTCTGCCTTCGAGGCAGGCAGCGGAACCACTGAGCTAAATCCCTGGCCCTACTTTATGTTTTTTCTTAAAATTAAGAACAAATTCATCTGTGCTTGGTGGCACACACATGTAACCCCAGCACTCTGGAAGGCCGGAGCAGGGGGATAACAAGTTTGAGCAGAGTCTGGCCAACTTAGTGAGACTGTCTCAAAAAAAAAGTGTGATGGTACTGGGTTCAATGTCTAGTACAAAAAAAAGGAAAATAAAAGAATAAAAGAACAGAACATAAAAAAATCACTAACCTCTTTATTGTTAGCATTTCCCATGTCATTCTTTGAAGACATGAGATTAAAGGACATTATATTTTAAAACATTAATGTATTATAATTTAATTATCCACTCATATGATGGCCTTTTAGGTTGATTTTATTTTTACTTTTTAATATCATAAAACCCAATAGTAGGCTCTAACAATTTAAAAAGTTTTGGCAAATTAAGAAGGTGTAAGATTTTATTTTGCCTTTATTTGCAAAAAATTATGAAAGATTTTGAAATGGGAAAAAAAAGAGAAAAGATTACTGAATAACCTGTCTTGGCTTCTGAGTTATTCCCCATTATCTTTGTGCTATTTTGTTTTGCTTTGATTGAGGCAAGTTCACACTATGTAGTTCAGGCTGGCCTTGAACTTGAAGTGATTCTCCTGCCTCAGTCTCCCCAGTACTGAGGATTAAAGGCATGGCCACCACGCCCAACTTGTTTTTGTTTTTCTTTTTGCTTTTGAGACAGTGTCTTGCTATGTTACGCATGTGGGCCTTGAACTCACAATTCTCCTGTCTCAGCCCCCAAATGCTGGGATTACACGTGTGCCACCACACCCAGCTGAGCTATTTTATAACTCTGTAAATTGGAGAAAACTGCTAGTAATGCAAATTATATTTGTCTAAAGAAATGCAAATTATGTCGTTCAGTTCAATGGAATTGATTACTGACCTGCTTTCCACCTAATTATAAGTTTGTTTCAGTACTTACATGTGTGATACTTTGTACTGACTTTGTACTGTATTTTCCTTTGAACTAATAATATCATATTGGTTCCTTCATTAGTTAATGAGTTAAATAAAATGCTAACATGTTCATTTTCTATTTCTGTGAGAGCCATGATTATACCCTCTTTAAAAAATTAATCACTTAATTATTCATGTATGTATGTGTTATGGCTTTTATCTAGATGTCCTCCCAAAGCCTCATGCACTTGGGGAGGTGATTGGAACATGGGTGTGTGATACTGCATTAGTTCACTGATAGGTTTACAGATGGGTGTGATGCTGGGATGGTGGGAGGTGAAGCCTGGTGGGAAGAGGTGGGTGGTGGTGGGTGTGGCCTGGAAGGATATATATGAGATATCTATCTATCTATCTATCTATCTATCTATCTATCTATCTATCTATCTATCTCCCACCTCTTACTTTGATGGCTCTCTGGTTCCTGCCTGATATGCCATGAGCTGTTTCTCTTCTGCAATGTCCCTCCTGCCTTGGAGCCAGCCAACTATGGACTGAAACCTCTACAGACTGTGAGCCAAAATAAACCTTTCCTCCTTTAACTTGTGGGTGTCAGGTATTTTGTCCCTGCAATGAGAAAGTGACTAAGACAGTATGTATGTTTGTATTTATGAGGTTAAATATTGCTTTAAAAAAGTATTGCTCTAAAACCAGATTGAGTCTGTGGTCAGTAAATGATATTTATAAATTAATCTCAGAGAACTGTATATTTACACTTCACATTTAGAAATGTGGCATATTGTCCTATTTATTCACATCATTTGGATTTCTGAAAAGTTTTTAAACTATGAATACATTTTTGTTAAAATTGTGAAAGAGGCATTTTCCTGTTATATTTTATAACTGGTTATTATTGGCATAGGAAATTTCACTTGATAACTAGTACGCCACCTTGCTGTATATTCTAAGTTAAAATTTACAAAAACTTTATGACCTTGCATTTTCTGGCACACAGATGGTCTGCAAATCGTAACACCTTTGAACCCCTCTTCTAAGAGGTGTATATCTTCTGTTTTACACAGATAATTACTTTGATGGATGGACTTCATAATAAAATGAATTATTAATGCTGCTAAAGGTAACTGTATTCTGATTTTAATGAGATTGCCTCCTGTAATATTAACTACTGGTATGAAATAGGCTTTTTAAAAATATTTACAGTCAGGAAGGATTCTATTTTAGATTTTTAAGACTTTCTTATAGCATGGAATTTTATCAAATGTTGATCTAGTGTCTACTAATTTGATTATATGTTTTTTTCTTATTTGATATGATGGATAAACAAGTTTTCAATCTAGTCTTAAAAATAGGATAAACCTTGGGCTTAGTGAATTATTTTTGTAACATTAGGTTTTTGGTTTTTTTTACCGTAGTATTCTCTCATCTTGATCATAAGTTATATGAGGTGGGTTTTCCTAATTTTGGAACTACTGTACTCTCATTTAGTTTTGGATAATTCCCTGTTGTTGGTAGCTATCCTGCTCTTTATAGGTTTACTAAGGTTTACTGCATCTCTGTCTTCTGCCCACTAGGTGTCCCCTACCCCTACCAAAGTTGTAAGAACTGCAAATGTCTTCAGGACTAGGGATGCAGCTCAAGGGTAGAGCCCTTGCCTAGTGTACATGAAGCCTTGGGTTTGATCCCCAGCACCGCAAACAAACAAAACACATACACTAAAACATGGAAAAATGTCTTCAGACATTGCCACGTCTCCTGGGGGGCAAAAATCACCATAAAAAAACACTTATGAACAACTTTCTCTTTTGTGTGTGCTGTCTTCGCCAAATTTTGATATTAGGAGTATGACAGTTTCTTATACCTAACAGTTTTCCATCTCTTCCTGTTTGGGAATAATTTATACAACATTTGAATTAGTTGGTATTTTGTTATAGTAACAGAAAATAGAATAATACAAAAAGCTGAAATTAAGAATAGCTAACTGGCTACAGATAATTTTGTATAAACTATAGGACTGCAGGACAGGGCTGAATTCAAGAGCTATCATGCATAATCATGGGCAACATTTTAATACAGAGCCCACAAGAGTTCACATGCAGTCAAATACAATACCATGGACAAACTTTGCCACCTGCAAAGAGCTTGTGAGAGCAGTAAAGCTGCCCAGTGAAGTGCACGGGCCACAAGGACACACACTGGGTTCATTTTCTACATCCTGCTTCCATTGAGTGAAGCTTTTTTTTTTTTTTTCTTTTTTTGAGACAGGGTATTGCTAAGTTGCACAGGCTGGGCCTGAACTTAATAATTCTCTTGTCTCAGCCTCCCAAGTAGCAGGGATTACAGGCATCTAGGGGACAAGGACTAATACCATTTCCTTATAATGGGACAAGTGGAACTTCAAGAATTCAGTGAGTTCCACTGGACTGAGGAATAGGCTCAGAATGTCCCATTTCCTTCAACATTGATAGGGAATTTACCCTGCCTGTCCAGGGCAGTGGGCTCTTTTCATAGTGGAGAGAGCTGCTGGCTTCTTATCCCCACGCCAGGGGTTATGACTCAGATGGCTGTTGGACCACAGCTTGCCAGATATAACTGACTGTGCTGGGTCCATCCCAGGGAAAATCCTGTGACACTGATGGGTGTTTTGACCCAGAGGTCACACTGTTTCAAATCAAGAGTCAAAAACCCCACAGTTCCCTTTTTTGAGGAATGGTATGCTCTCATTTGCACCACCTTGCCCGGTAGCAGAGCCGGTGTTCAAAGACATTATCTTAATCTTCCTCTTTTTCATTTCCTTCCCACACCCATGTTCCCCTCTAACTCTGATCCTTCTTCTTCTTTCTCTACCCATAGACATTTTTCCCTGTGACCGCCCCCAAGCACTACTAATCTACTCTGCTAAAGTCCTGCATCTTTATTCACTCATCTACAAAACTCCACGTGGTGATTTGTGGAAGGTCAGTGGATTTCCTCTGCATCCAAGCACAGTCTAGGATGAGTCTTGGTAATATCTGGTGGGCAATGGGAAGGTCTGTGAATGTGAAAGGCCAGTCTCAAGGCCTGATTATTAATGATCAGTGGATTCCAGTCATGGATAATTCTTTATTCTGTTGAAAATGCTAATAAGTAGTCTTGTGTTATGGGTACTTGTTTGTTATACACACAACAAAGTTATCTCACGCTCAGATGGGTAGATAAGTGATCTCATTTCCACTCTCTCCAAGTTCCTGCTAATCACATCTTACACCTGAATTACACTGTCAGACATCAAAACACTTTTACAAGCTCATTTGAATCTCACAACAAACTTACAATGTCAGCAGAACAGGTATCCATCTCCGCTTCACAAATGAAGACAAGGGGACTCGGAGATGGCACACAATGGATGTGCCCACATCCTTTGACCCCACAGCTAGGGGACTTTCCATATTTCATGCCCACCTCCTAATCTGTGGTCCCAGAAGCAATGGGTTAAACTACAGAAAAGTGTTGTGAATAATTCAGAGAATTGCTTCTGTGTATGTTTCGGACAAAGAATTATTATACTGGCTTCCTGCTGCATTAGAGGGGAACCCAAGCCAAAGCTGTAGCCTACAATGAGTGGTACAATCCCTTATTTTGTTAGCTTTGCAGCTGTTGTGAAACAAAAAAACAAATTTTTTTTTGGAGGAGGTGTAGAGTTGATTGTTAGGCCAAAACCATTTATCTCCATGGAAAATAGCTTTTTCACTTACTGTCCAATATTGGTGCACTTCTGTCGTTGGTGATTGTCTTCTTTAGTTTCTTCCCTTTGCTGATATCAGACAGAAGAGCATTTCTCCCAGCCTGCTCTGACTTATTCAAGGTAGGCTTCTCTGTATTGGCCTGAAAGGAAACCACACAAACTTGTTTGCAGCTCCTGGATTAAAATTATGCACTACACTACTTAGCTGTACAGGCAAGATACTGGAAGCTTGCTATTAAGGTTCTCAGCGATAGGCTATAAATCCTCCCACAAGTTTTGGACTCCATGTTATGCTTTTTATGACCTGGACATTTGAGAGCAGATGCAGCAATAAATTGCATTCATTTTCAAGGCAGGAAGTCAGCTTCTGCTAAGTCTCCGAAAATTCAGATCACCATCTGCCTGTAACTAGCAGAGCCAGGTGAGGGTTGATGGCTACACATAACAAGGGAACCTGCAGTTTCAGGGTTCTGCAGGACAGTTTAGCCTTCATTCTTCTCTGAAGGATTGGATCCCTTTTCCAACTTGTAGAACTAACCCGGTGCAAGGTAAAAATGGTCTCTAATAAATAACAGTGGGTTTAATAACACCGAAATTTCAGAAAACAACTTTCTCTCAGTACCTTGACAAAGATGCTTAATATTTAAATGAGATTTATTGAGGTATAATTTACATATGGTGAAATAATCTTTTTAGTTTACAGTTTTGTGAGTTTTGACAAACATGTACAGTGGTGTAACCACACCACAATCAAAATACAGAACATTTTCATTATTCTCAAAGTCCCCTGGCATTCCTTTGGCCTACTTGTTTCTGATGTTTAATCCATTTGAAAATGTAGCTCAGAGAACCTGCAGAGTGGACAAAAGTACTGCTTTAAAATGTTTGGGTATGTTCCTGTATTCCTAGAGTTCCTGGAAATCAATCTTGTTTCTTCAGGGTCATTTAGGAGCAGAGACAGTAAGAGCCCAGCATGTGGACTTGGAAGTAGGCATTGCCTGTGTCCTTCATACTTGGAAACTGGCTTGGGCTCGTCTGGTCCTGGAGGTCCTTCCAGAGACCTGAAAGTCCTCCTAAGCTGCCCTAGCCCTCCTGGATGGAATGTGCTTTCAGATGCACCAGCAAGGGCCATGACAGGGAAAGCTGCAGGAGGGTGTGACTTGCCGTCTCACACACCCTCCTGATATTAGAGCCCAGAAAAACCCTGAAGTAGGCTACATGGAATCACTGTATGTTAAGTTGGAAGTGTCTTGAAATAATTAAATTGTAAAAGATTACTTGCTCATGATAATGATAATAAGATAGCTTTTATGCTGAGCCAGGCACTGTTTTCAGCACCTTATATATTTATTTCATTTAGTCCTCATCAACTGTGAGTTGTTTTCATTTCACAGACAAGGAAACTGAGGCATAGGAAGATTATATCATTTCCTCCATTGCCAGATAGTAAAAGGAGGAGCTAGGATTCAAACCCTGACAGTCTGACTCCAAGGCCTTACCTATAAGGGGACAAAGTGGGCTGGAAAATGCCTATTCTCCGTCAGCTCTCAGCGAGCCCAGAAGAGGCCTGCTTAGAGCTTCTCAGTTGGCCTTCCAGAAGCGCCCTGCATATACAGCTTGCATTTGCTAGTGGGTTATCCTCTATTGCTCTGAAACTTGTTTTTTCTGATTAACAGCATACCTTGGACATCCAGGAAAGAGCTTTAAAAATTAACCTCTGTCTTCATTTTAAGAATGAAAATGAACTAAGACCTATGGAGGTTAACTGAAATGCCACGTTGGATCTCTAACAATTTGAGGTCAACAACCTTCAGTGGCTTCCTGTTCGGCTTCAGAATTTATTTCTACACCTGACCTCCTTGGTGTTAGCCTCTCTCATGTGGCAGATCAGAGCCCTTAACAATGTCCCATGATGGCCACCAACCCTCCTCTCCTTTTCCTCCTCTCTGTATCCTATTTCTATAGGATCTTGCTTTGAGTTAGAAATTACTTGATAGGATAAACAAGGGTTCCTCAAACTTTAACCATTCTCGTGCAATCTTCTTATGCCAACTGTGCTAGTATTTAATATTTTAACCACACTAACTCAATGTATTACTTATTATACTATTTTTTCAATGAACATATTAAATTAATTCACTGTTAAACCCTAAATTTGATGTGCTAATCATAATTTTAGAACACATATTAAAATAAATACATAAGCATTATAATTCAAAAACTTAATCCATTACTATCCAGCAGTGGTATACAACTCACATTTTGGGAGAAACAGAAACCAATCTTGCTATGTCAGCCAGATCAGAACTCCTCAAACTTATCCATGCAAAAGGCCAGTTTTTAAAAACTTTTTTCAATCCATAATAGACTTTGTAAAATAACAATGAAATTTTGTACAATAAAAAGGGCTGGGGATGTAGCTCAGAGGTAAAGCATTTGCCCTACATGTGTGAGGCCCTGATGCAATGCCTAGTATGGAAAAATAAATGAATAAAAATGACTCTGTCCCCACAAGCCTCAGTTTCCCTATATGAAAATGAGGGGAGCACCAGTATGAGGCTCCTCAGTAGTGCAGATGAACAAGGGGAGGCCCTGATAAGGGAGGGTGTCTTAGGGTCATTTCATACCACCATGTGGCTCCCCGGAACAGGCTGTACTAATCTTCCCACAGGCCTCTAGAGGACCAGGGTGATTGCACCTGAAGAAATTCCCTTGGGAAGTAAACATTTAAATGCAAGGACAGGCTAAAAGGGGGATGTGAGTGTAGGTGGAAAGGTGGTGGTGGGGTGATAGGTCAAAAACAGTGGAAAGAAAAGGGAGAACACAGAGAAACAGAAAGAAGAATGGATGACACATACTGGATGCATTGCACACAGTGACCTGGGTTTCCGGTCTACCCAGTAGTGAAAGGCTGGATGCTGAGTGGACACAGTACATGCTGTCCTTAGAACGGCTTCTGCAAACCCTGTCCCGGGCCACCAAGTTTCCCTGAATGGGCACGTCAAAGGAAACCTAAGGATCCCCATTCCATGCTCACACCATGCATGGCAGCAGACATTAACTAAACAAACCCATCATGGTATGTTGATTCTTGAGGTCTCAGGTTGGGTTATGCTGAGCCCTCGCATAGCCTGCTATATCACACCTGTGCCAGAATGCAGACTCACTAAAACTGCACACCTGTGTGCCAAATTTTGACTTCTTTTGGCTTGCATTAGGGATAGAAAGCAAATGGAGAGGAGACACTCACCAGCGCCAGTGTGGGTGGCGGTGGGGGTGCCGGTGGGGGAGGGACGGGCATCTCGGATGGTTATACTTTCAACAGTCTTGACAATAAATCTGTAAAGACAAAAAGACCATCTCAGTCACTATCTCATTGCTGAGATTCAATACCCAACACCAACAAATTAAAAGAGGAGAGGTTTATTCTGGCTCATTTGTTTTAGAAGTTTCAGTCCATAGTTGGCTGGCTCCAGGGCAGAAGCAGAATGGGGAAGGACCTGCTGTGGAGGAAAGTTGCTCACCTCCTTGCAGCTGGGAAGGGAGATATATTCTTCCAGGCTATGCCCCAGTGACCTGCCTCTTCTGAACAGAACCCCTCTTCTTTTTCTTTTCAGAACCCCTCTTCTAACAGCAAGTTGACTTTAGCACCCCTATAATCCAGGCTTCTTCTAAAAGCCCCATGTATGAACACATGAAGCTGTTGTGCAGGGGCATCTAGGTTTAAACCATAACACTCTGTCCAAGACTCACGGACATCTCTTTATGCAAACTGCATTTAACTGGTGCCAAAGTCTTAACAGTTCCAGCACTGCTGGAAAGTCCAAGACCAAAGTTTCCTTGAGACTTAACCCAAACTCTTAGCTGTGAGCCCCTGTAAAAATCAAAAAGAAGTTAAACACTGCTGACATACAATGGCACAGGGTAAAGAATCCCATTCCAAAAAGGAGGAACCGGGGGATAGGAAGGAATGAGACCAAAGCAAAACTGAAACCCAGCAGGGCAAACATAAAATCCTACAAGTCCGTGTCCAGCACCGGGGGGGGGGGGGAAGTTATGGTGAGATGAGAACTCCAAAGGACTTGGGCGGCCCTGCTGTAGCATGGCTGGTTCGGCTACCATGGGCTCCCTCTGGCTCACAGCCTGCTGCTTTCCTCAGCTGACGTTCCACATGCCTGGCTCCTTCAACTTTTTAAAGGGATGGAATTGCTTTTCTCTTCCTTGCTTAGACGAAATTGTTGTGTCTGGAAGGTCCCTCGAAGGGGAGCTTCTGAGCCGAGTAGTTGAAGAGACTGAGCTAAGCCCAGTGCTGTGTTGCGCAGTTCTGCCCCCACCACAGCAGGCCACAGCAGAGTGAGATGGCCCTGGGTCTGTGGCCTGGTAAGTAGAGGGTTTTCATGAAACTACGAGAAGTGAATCCTAGCCGAATCTGATGGAGAACAAATGCTCTTCAAATGGTTCCTCCTTTTCACTCATCCCCAAGACAAAATCCTTTCTTCCTCTCCCACCTCTCAGCAGTCCCTGAGCTGGTTTCACTAAAATCTGAGACTCCCTGTTGTAGAGTTTGAGCCTTGAACCACAGGGCAGCCTGAGACCACTGAGTGACATAATCTCTATGCAACACGTGTCCCAAAGCTCAAACAGCAGAATTCTTTTTCTTTTTTTTTGTTGTTTTTTTTTTGTTTTTTTTTCTTTTATTCTTAATAGTCTCCTAATTGCAGAAAACAACTTCTTATAACTTAAAATAGTGAGCTCAACCACCAAAAGTTAAGGTGGAAAATGTACGCCTTGAAATAAATACTTTCTATTAAAATAATGCTGGATAGCTTGCTTTCTGTGCGCAGAAATGGAAGGGAAAAGCTAAAAGGATAGTGCTGAACTTGTCACAGCTGTTGGAAAACAAGAATTAAGACAGCTGGAAGCAGTTCCGTTCCAAAGTGGGCTGTCTGAAAAAAAAAATTTTTTTAAACATTCCACCACTGCAACAGTAGCTATTCAGAGAATCAAGGGGATCCAGGTTTGTTACTTGGTTGTCACTGATGCCTGCAGCACTCAGGCTAGCACAACTATACTGAGGACGGTGAGCCCTGGAGAAAGTGAGGCACTCACCAACAGGCCCATGGCAATTGCCTTGAATCATGTCCTCTTGGTCTCTGCTCTTCCACTGGACTACACTGCCTTACGCCCTGCTCTTTTAAGCATTGTCAGGGAGGCTAACTAGTGTTGCTAACTAGGCTGAACTCTTTACGTAAAAGACTGTTTTAGACAAAGATTCACTTCAAATGTGTCCTTTAAATGGTCTTTCCTGCATGTCACCAGTCCTTCCCCCATGGGGCCAACTGGACACTGTGAGGGGGCTTGGGTGCCCCCTGTGAAGAGGACTCATCAGCTGCAGAAGGACCTTCAGAGGCCTTGGAGCTGGACATCTCCCAGGACCAGAAGGAGGGGAAAGCTCCGAAGCTGAATGCAGGTCCAACTGTGAGACAGGCTGGAGCCAAGTCAATGGTATTAATTGAACTGGAGAAGGTGGCTTGTCGAGGCAGGGATAGCCTGGTCTGCCCGGCAGGCCCGAGAGGTGGGCTCCATGGCACAGTTCCTCCATGTGTTCAGTGGATGCAATGTCCCTCAAGACTCTAATCTATCCTGTTTGCTTCCACATTCACCAACCAACCTTCTCTCATCCTGCTATCTCTGTATCTAGGAAGGAGTGGATTCTGGTCAACTAACAAGAATCCCCTGTGGGCTTGGTTCTCATGAGTTCTCAAAGATAAAACTGAACTTCTTTTGCCCTGCACGTCTCAGGGGCCACACAGGAATGGGAACCCTTTCAGGGGACTGTGCCCTGCAAGGCCTTAATTATTCTACAGTTCTCTGCTGTTGATGTTTTAGTGCTGTCTGTGCCTTACCTGGCTTACAAATAAACTTCTGGACCACAACTCAAGGGGGACTGTGCTGACTGTGGGATCCAGACGGCTAGTGGGGGAGAAACAGTAATGGTCTTGGCTGGGGCCAGAGCCAATCCTAAGGTCATGGCCAGCACAGAAACAAGCAAGCAAAACCAAGTCCAGGAACAAGAAGCTATCAAAGGCTTCGGGGTCTTGAGAGAAGCAGGGATTTCCTCTCTGGGCCAAATTAGATAAACAGGGAGAGGATCTTCGGGTGAGCGCTCTCACTTTCTGAGTGCCACGCAGCAGTAAGCTTTCTTCTTTTCTCTCCACTTCTGAGGATGAATGTTGTAACCCTCCCTGCTGCAATCTTCCACTGCCTTACAGATAAATGATTTCTATGCCCACCTCCATGCTACAAGGCTGCCTTGTACCCCTTGCTCCTTCCTAGCTGAACTGGTGGGCATGGCCTGGACTTCTCCAGGCTGGCCCTGGAAGGAAGTGTGTGAGCAACCCCAGACTACCATCTTGCTCCCCCACACACAGATGAAAGGAGATCTGCCACCAGTCCCACTTCTTGGCTGCCTTTCTACTAGACCGTGGACCCTACCAAGTCTCCCCAATACCTGGCAAAAAGCAAGGTTCTCACCAAATATGTGTGGAGTGAGAACCAGTGACCACATCAACAGGCATGGTGTCTGTCATTGGAATGGCTCTTAGCATCCCTCCTTGTGCACTGTGAGGTTTAGGCAAAGAATCATCCACACCCCAGTGTTAAGTACTGGGACTTGTTTTTCTAGTAGCCCCAGATTTCCCCAAAGAAGCAAAACCCCACGGCCTGGGGAGAGTAGCGATTTCTCTTCTCCCAGAGTTAACAGCCCCACTCAGAGCCAGAGGGGGACCTCTTGGCAGAGGCCAGACCACAGACCCAACAGACCAGGAATTCTTGCCTGGATCCTTATGCCCACAGTGTCTATGGATAGAATCAGGGTCTTATGAACTTGGATGAAGAAAGTACTTATTATTTAGCGTTTCCTTTTGATTTCAAATGCAGACCACCAATCAGTTCCCAAGCCGCCTTTACCAATAGTTTTTCAGAAGAGACTTTCCCATCATCTTACAATTGCTGCAGCTCTCCTTTGAAATTCGGACAACATTGAGATCTGCTACTAGATCCTGTCGCTTAAACTATTAACCAAGTATATATTTCAAAGTAATTAGTTTCCTTGGAATTCCTCTGTATTGTATTTTATACACTTAAAAACAATCACAGAAGGAGTCCTTTGGATTTCCCCAGACACCAGGGTGGGTTTGGGAATGAAAAAGTGAACACGAGATCTGGGTCAGGAGAATTTGGTTCTGAATCCTTGCTCTGCCCCTCATGGCCTGAGACGAGAATTTAACCTCTTGGAGCTTCCCCTTCCCATCTGTTACAAGGCCTTCCTGGATGGGCTCGGATCTGACCTCGTGGGTGAGGACCGGCCCTGCTGGCGCTCATGCTGCTGAGCAACTGGCAGACCAGGGGTGGACCTGGGGCTGAGCAGAGGGGCCGGCTTTGCCTGTGTGGCTCGGGGTAGAGCCGTGTGGGGTGGGAGTGAGGTGGTCTGGCCACTGGGCCCTGAGAGAGAGATGCATTTGAAAGTGCCTCTGTCCTGGGGCAGCAGGGCCCTGGAGCAAGGGAAGGCCCAGGGTGGCAGGTCGCAAAGTGCACTCTATCATTTCCTGCCTCAGAATCCACTCTGCTGTCTGCTCTCACTCCTTCAGGCTCCTTACAACTGGCAGATCACAGACCTACATATTTGCAGAGCCCTGCCCTCCTGCCCAGCCCAGCCCAGCCCAGCACTGAACTTTTAGGAATACATACTTTGAAGATTAACTTCTTTGCATGAATTAGTTCAGGGTTTAAATAATTTTCATCAGGGCCAGGGATTTAGCTCAATAGTTCCAGCCTGGCTTGCAAGTGGAAGGTCCCTAGTTCGATCCCTGGGACTGAAAAATCCTTTCATCATGGAGGGGCGTAGTTTTTCAAACTTTCACCTGGTATGCAGAGAAAACCCTAGGGGTGGAAAAGGCTCTTGTTTTCAGACAGTGTTAGGGGACTGAATTGTGACTGCAGATTCCCATTTGCTGAAGCCCCAACCTCTAGTACCTCGGAATGCAGCAGTTTGGAGATAGGGCCCTAAGAGGTGACTGAGCTAAAAAAGAGACTATTACGGTGGAGACTCCCGTATGGCTGGCAACCTTGTAAGAAGAAGAGACATCAGGGATGAGTGCACAGAGGAAAGACTTTTGCAGACACAGTAAGGAAGCGCCACCTGTAAGCCAAGGGGAGGCCTGAGAAGAGGACAACCCCACTGACACCTTGATTTTGAATTTTTACTATTTGTACTATTTAGGCCATGCAGTCTGTGGGATTTTGTTATGGCAGCACTAGAAATTAATACACAAAGTTCT